TGGAATCAATGTGGAATGTCGGTATGCAAAGTTAACTAGTCTATGTAAAGTATCATAGTTAACATGTCCTAGTCCACCATACCACAAGTTGGAAGACTCAGGCAAGTAAGCAGAAGATTTTACTTATTCATTTTTTTACTTAACAATCATTACATTCAGTTTAAATATACCATCGGAAATATAACTTTTTCCACAAACATTCCACCTTTTGACAAAATGACTTTGTCTAACTCAAATATAATACGAAAACCATGCTTATTCAAAAGGTTCTTGGAAATTTTCGGCACGTACAACACATATTTAAAAGTCAGCTCCTTCCCCGAGGTCATTTTCAGATCCACCTTTTCTTGACCCTTGATTTTAAAAGTTGCTGAATTTCTCATGAACAACTTCTCTCCATTCCTAATTGCTTTGGAAGCAACAAACAACTCCTTATCAGAGCACACATACTGTGTAGCACCCGTGTCAATCCACCATTCTTTTGGGTTAGAACTTACCATGTTCGCTTTAGAAATGACTGCTGCGAGATTCATTTCCGACACATCATGTGCCATGTAGTCAACTACATTTACTTCTTTATTATTCTTCTTTGGAAATCTGCACTTCAAAGACTTGTAACCTACTTTGTCACAATTGAAACATTTTTCTTAAAATTTCTTTTTAGAAATGCCTCCTTTCAGTCCCAGCTTAGTACATTTGCCATTAGATGTCCTAGACTTGTTCTTTAAAGTCTTAGAACTTTGATCGTGCTCAACAACATTAGCTTTAGCCACAATAGGATTGAATACCTTCTTATGGAACTTCTATTGTCTTCTTTAATTCGAAGTCTAACAACCAGTTCTTCAACATTCGTTTCCTTTCATTTGTGCTTAAAATAATTCTTAAAATCTTTCCAGGTGAGGAGCAGTTTTTAATAATTGCAGTCACTTGGAAAGTTTCACTTAGAATTATTCTTTCGGTATGAATCTCGTAAAGAATCACTTGGAGTTCTTATACTTGACTGATTACTATTTTAGAGTTCACTATCTTATGACCCAAGAATTGGCCAACAATGAATTTCTTGGCCCCTGCATCCCTAGTTTTATATTTTCAATCCAATGACTCCTATAGCTCCTTATCAGTTTTCATGGTGCTTTACACATTGTACAACGAGTCTGCTAAGTCGTTCACGATGTAGTTTCGGCATAGAAAATTCGAATGTTTCAAAGCATCAACCATACTGATCACTTGAACATCTTCCTCACCCTCATTGAGTTTTGGAACAATTTCAGTCAAAAATCTGGTAAAATTCAAGGTGGTCAGGTAAAATAACATTTTCTGCTATCACCTCTTGAAATTCAAGCCATTGAATTTCCCTGATTTTTCTCCATAATTAACCGGAACAGTAACAGTGTGGCTAGTTGTTGGAGTCATAGATTGACTCACAACATGATTTGATAATTTAGCCACAATCTGACCCATAACACTACTGGATACTTGAGCCACAGCAGAGCCCACGGGCTTATTTCCTGCAGCAATAGTTTAGAATACATCCATGCTGGTTAATTCGATTGTAATTTCGGAAAGACAAACGTAGAATTTGTTTCTAAAGTTAACACTATAAGAAACCAATTTTTTCTTTCAATCTATTTTAAGTTTGTTGGATTAAATGTTAGTGGAGGAATACCAGATTGACACATACCGTATATGCAACATACCGAATTTACGTATATTGTATATGCAACATACTGTATTTATGCATACCGTATATGTACCTTAACGTATTTGCTAGTTATCGTATATGCAGCAACTTACTGTCTATGCAACTTGTATATTCCGTATATACAGTGAACTTGAATATTATCCAAAATATAGCAGATTAAATTGCAATAAACTGAACAAGTTAATCTACTTAACCAAAATAGCAGATTAAATTATAATAAAACAAAATTAATAAACTAATTAGCCAAAACAAGAAATTTTAATCGAGGCCTGTGTGAATAGAGTTTCTTTAAAATAAAGGATTAATTTGGACATCTATCTCCCAGGATACAACGAAGGAACAATAGAATTTGAGCACTTCAAATACTACTCTGTCGAGTAGAGTTTGTGTCAGAACAGTATCACAAAAAATACAGACAAGACCAAGATTGTATATATGCAGTATGCAGATCGAAAACTTATGGAGAAACTGTTTATGCAAACTGTGGAAAATCGGGTTGTATATATAGGCTCAACGTCATTAATGCCATTAAGTCGTATATGATGACAATGAATGTAGGAGTTTCGACTTTTTTGGAATTTATACGGTCGGTTGGAGGAAAAAAATTAGCAAAACATAGACTCTTCTAAGGGGCCAATTTTCAAATCTGAAACTTATTTCGATTCGATTTTCCCCCTACACTCGCACATAGAGAGAGTCTCTATGTTATACATGATTACACCATTCCAAAGTGCAATCCTATTTAATGTGATATATGCTTTCATAATTTTCCTATGTGGGACAACATCAAATGGATTCCTTCCAACAATATAAATTCCTTTCAATTGGCAGACTTTGAGCTCCAATTTCTCACTCTCATTTTTGGTAAGTAAATATATGATTTCGATGTTTTCACGGAGGAGAATACAAATCAATCTTGAACTTCCAAAATAACCAACCGGGTTCCACTCAAGTTTTGTGCCAAAGTTCGCCACTCAACACATTTTTTTAGCAGAAGTTACGTCGGTGTCCTACTGGATTGCGATTCTTGTTTGTGTTGTCAATTATGTGCTGATAAAATTTAGTGCTTGTTCGTGCCCTATTATTTGTGTGTAATGTATTATGGAATAGTGATTGATGTTGAAATGTGTGGTAAAAAAAGAAAGAATTTTTTTTGATTTACGTGTAATATTATTTTAATGAAGAATGTGTAGATGAAAATCAGTACTCTAACAAAAAATGTGGCAAAATGTGAAAGAAAAGAAGACAAACAAAGCCTTAATGTAACTTATTTATATTAATGTCAAATATCAGACGAATGCTGGCTATTGAAAATGTCGTCCACATTGATTGAAGTGATTGAATATGCCAAAGTTTGCACCATTTACAAGGAACTTACACTAAATATTTGTTGGAAGCTTCTGTAATTTTATGAAAAATGGAACTGCTATTTATAGGAGGATTAGCTATTACAGAAACTAAGTGTAGAAGTACTCATTGAACGTTCAAATAGAGGTTCCAAAAGTTGAGATGTCAAACGGAGTTTTCCCAACCGATCAATTTACTTCTGATGGAGTAAAGAGTACTGAGAACTGGGGAGGTGAGAAGTTAACAAATCATAATGGCCTCTTTGGAGGTGGGGAATGGGACCTATCAGATTTTGATCCATTTGGCTCCAGCATGGTGGTCTTTCAGGCACAAGATAGTATAACTCGGCCAGGCTTTGCCATGTCCGAGTACCAAATTGACCGACAACTAAAACGGTACACTGATTTTGTTAGCTTTGATGATTTGTATCTTGATGTTGTCTCTCTGCCTTTTCGATCACTTGACGATGAATACAGAAAGCTTGTTAGTATCAAGTCGCAAAATTCAGAGCTTAATGCACCCAAGAAGAAAAGACAGTATGGATTCCCTTCAGGTTCTCTTGAGATCCTGAAGAGATATGGAAGCAGATGCAGAAGGTTCAACGGTAAAAAGGGCAGTATGCCGAGCTCGGAGATACAATACACTAATAGTAACGATCCAACACTTTCAGCTGAAATAATCATTCGACTGGCTGCAGAAAAATTTATTCAATCCAGTTCTACTTCTAAATGTAGCGATGAGGTTACCTTGCTTAGCCATCCGTATTCAAGTTCAATTTTGGCAAACTCTGCAGGAGATTCAGAAGAGGTTCATCTTGTCCAGAATCTTCTGTCCTCTGCAGAAAAATTGGGCGAGCAGCAGTACGAGCGTGCGATCCAGCTCCTTCGTGAGTGTGACAAAATGAGTTCCAATAGAGGAAGCCCTATCCAGAGATTAGTCTTTTATTTTAATGAGGCTCTTTATGAGAAGATTGAGAGAGAAACTGGAAGAATTACTCCGAGGGGTTTGGGGAAAAAGACTGCAGATCCTCTAGAAGCATTGAAGTGTCGAGATTCAACCCTTATAGCATTTCACGGTGAGATGCCTATTTCTCAGATTACCAAATTAGCAGGAATTCAAGCCTTAATAGAACATGTAGCAGAGGCAAGGAAGGTACACGTCATTGACCTTGAGATCAGGAATGGATTACATTGCATAATCTTGATGCAAGCTCTTTTGACTAGATTCGAAAATCCTGTTAAGCATCTTAAAATTACGGTTGTGGGAACAAAATCAAAGGAAAAATTAGAAGAGACAGGTAGGCGTCTTACAAGCTTTGCAGAGTCCCTGAACTTGGCATTTTCTTTTATCATTGTCATGATAGATGATATTTTAGATCTCAATAAAGACCTCTTCAAGTTGCATGATGATGAAGCTGTTACCATCTATGCAGCATACACTTTGACAACTATGATTGGATGCCCAGATAGACTGGAGCACGTGATGAGAGTGATCAAAACTATCAATCCTGGTGTAATGATTTTCACAGAAATTGAGGCAAATTGTAATTCTCCAATTTTTGTGGACCGATTTGTAGAAGCACTGTTTTACTATGGTGCATTTTTTGATCTCCTGGCCGATTGTATGAAGGACGACGAGAAAAATAGAAGGGATGCTGAATCAACTTGCTTCAGCTCTGCAATAAGAAATATTGTGGCAGCAGAGGGAGAGGAAAGGAAGATTCGACATGTGAGTATCAGTGTCTGGAGGGCATTTTTTGCACGTTTTGGTTTGGTTGAGGTAGAACTGAGCATGTCATCTATTTATCAAGCCAATCTGGTGCTTAAGAACTTCAGCTGTGGGTACGCCTGCACTTTTGATATGGATGGAAAATGCTTAACTATTGGTTGGAAGGGCACACCTCTTAGTTCACTTTCTGCATGGAAGTTTCAATGAAATCTGCTACTTTCCACTAATTCCCTTTCCACTGCTCTTTCACATATCCTATATTTCTCTGTAATTACACAATATCTTTATGCATGATGAATCTTAGCAAAATTAAGCTTGTTTTGGAGTTTCTCAAGTAGAATGATATAATCACTTGTTCTTTCGCTTGGCACTCTAGTTATAGGTAGATAATAGAAGAGGGGTCCACGTACGTATTTAACCAGAAAAAAATAGATTAAGCCTTTAAATCAAAGTCAGGTCCTATATATGTATTAAGGCTCATTTGTATTTGACAGACATCCTGGACTCCCTCAGCTTACATCCACCTTTCTAATTGAATATAAATTTGGATGTGAGTGTTCTATTTAATGTTAGTTTGTTATATCATTAGCAGAAGCATGAGTTCAAATTTCTGATTATCAATTAAGATACCATCCTTTGAGGTCAGGGTTCCTTTACATCTGTTCGAATTAATCCATTTTTTGTCAAACATGACCAGTTGAGGTAGTTGAATTTTTCCGAGATACTAGTTGCAGTTATAGGTTTAATGTTTCTTTTCTAAATTACATCATAAGGTTGGTAGTGTGCAGAGGGAGATTTCTGTCCAATTGTAGAGCTGAATGGTAGTGCATTATATATACGGGCGCTTGGTGTTTGAGTAGGAATAGACATTTCACACTTCGACTTCTCATTCCTAGGATTGTAATGCAGTGCCGAATTATATATATATATATATATTTGTGTGTGTGTGTGTTAGATAGCGACCCTATTAATTTTAATCATTTGACATTGAATTGTGGGCACAAGTATTACATAGGAAGTATCTCAATGATGGGGGATTCTTACGCGCTTTTGATGGTAAAAGTTAGCAACGAGGAGATAGAAGAAACTGTATTTACCAAGGCAGAACATAGGGTGAATAAACTTGTGTTTTTAATATTCTGCTCACTAGCGTCTGTACTCTTCGAGAAACATTTACACTTTAGAGCTATAGCATTTTTGACATGTTGAAGATGAAATTTAGTATTCCGAAACATCTCAAGCTGTTCAATAAATAGTAGAACATAATTAGTACTCAGTTCAACCTCCTGTCCAATTTCATAGGTAATGTGTTTCATGAAAAATAGCTAGTGGTCACATGGTTTTATTACTCAAGAAACTGTATGATATCATTTCTCATTTGACGTTTTAATTGCTTATAAAGTAGAACTTAGTCAAATGTACATCTTAAAAAGTGCTACTTAAGTAATTAACGAGCTATTAAAATAGAATGTTTCTAAATTGACTATTGTCCTAAAAGAGTTCGATGTTGAAGAATATTGTCAGGTTTATCATGTTCTTTTTACACAAAACGTTAAAAAACAACGTATTTACTTTTTCGAAAAACGTAAGCCATATGCAAATCATGCACGGATTTGATGCTTTAAATCTGGAAAATCCCAGCAGAGGTCATTGTAGGCTGAGACTGGAAATGAGGCTTCCATAGTTTAAGCAAGGGACCTTGTAAAATCTCCATTGAGGGCTCATTTGCCTCACTCATATACCTAGAAACTATGTCTAGTCTAGAGACTCTACCCTTTTTCGCAGTTCTTCGCGCTGCAATCTCAATATTTTGTTTCTAGATTCAGTGCTCTCGTAAAGTGGTGTAATTTCATTGATCTTATGAATCATTTCATTGCATTTGGTCGTGAAATACATAATCTCATCGTTTAGATCTTTAACGTGTTGCTCATGCTTCATCCTTGATCGTTTAGCTGATTCACGGTTTGATATCAGTCTCTCCCTCTTCTTCTCATCTATCATATCTTCAGAACTTGAGTAGTTGAGTTACTAAACTTATTCCTTGATGAGGTTTACCCTGTTAGAATTTATTGAATGAAATTAAACTCCATAAAGCAGAAGAAAGAGGCACTCCATGATTGGAGGAGAATAAACCTCCATGAAAGGAGGGATTGGAATTCCACAATCCAATCATTTATTAATGAATACAATGACTCCATTTATAGAGAAAAAAGATGAGTAATTAACTGACTAATTTACTAATTAACAGGCTAATCACTAACTAATTAACATCCTAGACATGAGCTGGAATATTCTAAATTTGCTATAACATATTTCTAACACACCCCCTCAAGATGGATTATAGATATCAACAATAGTTCATCTTGAAGATTAAAGAGTATATTGGAGGGAAAAAAACATGATGAATAGCCTTGCAGAACAAATCTCTTGAATCCATCATATGAGCATCCATTAGATCAGCACGAAACATCACCAGACATTCCATTCCCATTCCATTTCGTGCCAGTGCACAATGCTTTCAGAGTTGAGGAGACTTGTTTTGTACGATAAACTTGGTAAGGTTCATATTGCAGAAAGGGATGATGTTCTCAATGGTAGCAAACTGGCGGGTCTTCAGATTTCACCAGATCTGATAGAGAAACAAGACTTAGTATAGGCTCTGACCATCCATAAAGATCTTTGAAAGTTCAGAGAACCAAAATCTGAAAGAGGAGAAATTTTATTGCAGAGAATCAAAGGACGAATTTTGATGTTGCTGGCGCCATTTTCTACAGACGAGAACTGAACTTTTGCTGGAATAGCACTTTCTTGAATTATGCTAAAATAGAAGAAATTAGAGATCTGCTTTCATTTGTACAGAACACAGAAAGAGGGGATGAAAATCTCATAAAAACACAGCAGCAGGAAGAACTCTGCTTCGATACCATGTTAGAATTTATTGAATGAAATTAAACTCCATAAAGCAGAAGAAAGATGCACTCCATGATTGGAGGAGAAGAAACCTCCATGAAAGGAGGGATTGGAATTCCACAATCCAATCATTTATTAATGAATACAATGACTCCATTTATAGAGAAAAAAGATGAGTAATTAACTGACTAATTTGCTAATTAACAGGCTAATCACTAACTAATTAACATCCTAGACATGAGCTGGAATATTCTAAATTTGCTGTAACATATTTCTAACATACCCTACAATCGTTCTATTATAAAGAAATATGAGAATTTGTATAACTTTCGTGTCTATGAATCACAACACACTAGAGACTCAAGAGAAAACATAGAACCACTACAGAAATATCATGACTAAAAGTCTAAAACATGCATAAATGAGCTGGAACATTCTAAATTTGCTGTAACATATTTCTAACATACCCTACAATCGTTCTATTATAAGGAAATATGAGAATTTGTATAACTTTCGTGTCTATAAATCACAACACACTAGAGACTCAAGAGAAAACATAGAACCACTACAGAAATATCATGACTAAAAGTCTAAAACATGCATAAATGAGAAATTAAGATGAGCTGAAGAAATGTGAAGGGTTTTGAGAATTTATCCATAGCAATATATATATAAACTTGGATAAGGTTCAACGAAAGCAAAACCACTTATGACATTCTTGTTGGAGAAAATAATGGTTTCATTATTCTCTTGCTTTTGTGTTTATTAGTTACACGTATCTACAACGCTTCAACTACATGTGTTTACGTGTCTTAAAGTAAAGTTTGTTAAATTTTTTTGGTACACGAGATATATTGCTATGAGTAATTTAAGATCATACTCGACTTGAAATTAATAAAAGAGATGAATTATATGTAAGTTTATATGAGAGACTAAAAAGAGAGTAGAGGTAACAAATAAGATACAGCTCAAATGCTGCAAAGATATTCTTTGTTGTCATTAAAATAAGAATTTAAACAGTTTGGCAACCACGGATTCAAAAGTAGTATTCCACTTAAAGTTGCATTGGCTCACTAATATTTATTTTGTTTTCTTCTTGTCATATATGCCTACTCATCAATTTAATTTATCAAAATATCAATGGTTCTTATTTTCTTTTTTCATTGACTATTGTCCTACATGCAAGTTCGGATTGCTACATGTTGACCTAATGCTTTTTGTTGACGCTCAAAAATGACACCAACAGATGTTGAGCCCACTCACGTCCACGCAGGCAAATTCCAACGCGTTTAGATTGTTGATTTGATCGAACGATAGAATAGACGTAGGAGATGCTCCTTCGACACGAGACTAAACAGTTCAGGCGCCGGAAAAGTGACTAAAAAGCTTGCAAACAAGCAGTCATAATCTTGCCCAAGGACGATCACAACTTTTGCAAGTAAATGATAAAAGAGAGCAAAAAGGAATACAATCAAATGGCAAGAAACGTATGGAGTTGTAATTATTTTCCCCTCCAAGATGTATCAAAAATTAATATACCCGTTCCTTATTCTTTTCCCAGGTTTGCTCCCCTTTTTTCTCTATATTGTTATTTCTATTGTTTGCACACCCTCCTTTTTGTTTTTCTAAGGGAAAGTTATATATTGAGTTTTGGGAAAACATGGTGGCCGTTGGATCCGAATCACGTGCTCCTACCTCCTTCTTTTATATATCACATCCTTCTTACACATGTATTTATTACATTGAAAAAGAGTCAAATGCCCTATATTTCTAGACTGATATTCTTGACACGAGATAAAGTAGACGTCAAATCAATCTTTCATAAAGATATTCGCCAATCAGCAGATATGGTAGCCTCTTCCTCTTTTAAGACTTCAGCCTCATCTTTTAGAGATTTGGCTGGTGGTGAACATAGGGACTTCGACATAGACCCTTCGTCAAGGCCTCGGCATATATCCGGGTGAGTAGCACCTTGACCAGAATAAGGACTTCGGCTCTGTAGCCTTCATAACCTTGTCGCTTCATCTTTTCCTATGTTTTGGGTTTGGCTCTTCTAATGTCATTAGTGGGGCTTCCACGTGTTGCTTTTTGATGGCAAACTTAATACGGGGAATAACAACATCCCCTCAAGTCTAATTGCTAAATATTCATATGAGAGTTTAGACTTGACAAAAATATGCAACAATAGACATCGGAACTGAGACCGAGGCTCATATGTCCCATACAAATAAACGACGTTTTCTCAAAGTATGTTCATGGAGAACTAAAGTCATGAATGCCGAAGTCATGGATTGTAAGAATCGAGGTAATTTGCACCGTTGTCGAAGTGGTTCAAATTTTGACTGAAGTGATATATTATGTAAGACGGTTTGGAAAATTTGAACGTCTCTTGTTATTTATCATCATAGATTGCTATGCTGTCGTTTGGCTTTCTTGAAGAGGGCGATGTCTCTTATTTTCAATGTGTGCCCCTGAACACGTGTTTTGACTTGGACCATAGAAGTTAAAGCATTAGAAGCAGTGAATGGTCCAGATGTGGCCTGAATTTGGACGGCTCAGATCTTTGAGATCTGATGGTTGACAATACATGTGCTTGCCTGTAAAAGGCTCACTTGCTTGGATACTCATTTGTTTGTATAAGTCATGTTGATTCGTGAATGTCTCTGCAATATGACCAAAAATTATATTTGTCCTTGGTGGATTTCGAGGAGAGTTGGTACAAGGGACTGCTTGGTTTCGGACGATGCCATGGAATGTGCGAATGGGATAATTCTTGGGTATAATGCACCAGATGTTTGGGCCTATGAAAATGAACATGCAACCTCAGCACAATCTTCTTTGAACGCCTTGAGATCAATGCTGAAATGCGGGGGGTTGCCAATTGCTTTGAGTAAATTATGTTGCAATAGGGTACGACCTCTATTTGAAGTGCCCCAAGTGGCATTATATGGATTCTCAAGGGTCGGCGTCAACGTGCCTCCCCTAAGCAGCTAGGTGTCACGAGTTTTATGTAACGTGATTTAACCACAAGCGTACGGTGTCAAGTTTTGTAGTATATTAAAGAATTGAAAAGTGTTGAACCCACAGGGATTGATATTCGACTTCTACTGAATACTATAATTGTGTCCGCGTTTACTTTATCTAGACAATCGAATGTTAAATTGATGTTTGAATATTAAACTAATGTCGATGAATTAAACAATGCAAGGAACGTGAAGTAATTTTTTAAAGATTGGATCAGAATTATGTAATGTCTAGGGAGTGATTTCACCATATTATCGACATAATTCTCAACCCCTATAGATATTCCTATCAACTATTTCCCAAATTCATAGGAGAGAATCCTAAATTAATTGTATTTCCTTTTCTCGAACGTCAAATATAACCTATCTCTATATTTTAATGCCAATATCTCTATTCCGAATTAAATATATAAAGATTATCAAGCATTTGGTCCTTGTTTTACCCTCAAAGATTTGCACTTTCTCGCGAAACCTACAAATCTAAGTTATATTGTTCTTAGATCATGCCTAAATTTCCCTCTCTCGAGCATCAAATTTAGAGCAACAATTCATTCAATTGGTGATCAGGCAACTAAAAGCATTACGTAAAAACAATACAAATCAATTCTGGAAAAATCAATGGGAATACTATAAAGAAATAAAATTATGTCTCAAATAGGTTACATCAAACCCTAGATTTAAAAGTTTAGTTCATAGTGGAGAATAAAATTACAATGAAATACAAAATAGAGTGCATGGATAAGAGAAAGATAGAAAAAAACTCAAGTTGCTACTCTATTTCTCAGTCTTGTCCTTGATTTCTCAGTTTTCTACCTGCTTTTTCTCCAAAATCGGGTCAATCTTCTCTCAATTGGTGCTTCTTTTTCTCTTGCCTCTTCAGCCATCTCCACCCCTAAACTTGGTCTTCATCTTGGTACTTATATTTTCTAAGAGTCCTCAATGGTTAGGGTATGATTTGTGGGCCGAAAAGATAATTAAAAATCCGGGTTTTATTGTTTCGGGATTTAGCGCCATGGCGTCGCGATGATAATGTTAACTGGCGCCATGGTGCCTAGGTCTGGCGCTATG